CCTCTTAGAATCCCTCCATCTGGTGTGACACACACTCTTTTCTCAGGCGCCCTCGGCGCACGACTGCTTTGGGATCAGGTCAGAGAAAGATCTTGTTGAAGCATCTCTTCCTCTCCTTTTGAGGAGAGCCAGTTTGGTGTGGTGGTTAAGTGCACAGACTCTAATCTGGGAGAAGCGGTCTTGATTCCCCACTCCTCCACTCGCACCTGGCTGGATGGCCTTGGGCAAACCATAGTTCCGACAAGAGCTGTCCTTGAAAAAGAGCAGTTTCTGTCAAGAGCTCTCTCAGCTCCACCGACCTCACAGGGTGTCTGTTGTGGGGAGGGGGAGGGAAAGGCCGCTCTGAGACACCTTTGGGTAGTGAAGGGGCGGGGTATAAATCCAGTCTCTTCTTCTTCTTGATTCCCCAGTCCTCCACTTGCACCTGGCTGGATGACCTTGGGCAAGCCATAGTTCTGACAAGAGCTGTCCTTGAAAAAGAGCAGTTTCTGTCAAGAGCTCTCTCAGCCCCACCCACCTCACAGGGTGTCTGTCTGTTGTGGGGAGGGGGAGGGAAAGGCCGCTCTGAGCCCCCTTTGGGTAGTGAAGGGCGGGGTATAAATCCAGTCTCTTCTTCTTCTTTTGAACTTGGGGTTTCTTTCCACCGACAGCCAGTTTGGTGTAGTGGTTAAGAGTGGCGGATTCTAACCTGGGGAACCGGGTTAGATTCCTCCTCCTCCTCCTCCTCCCCCTGAATCCTGCTTGGTGACCTTGGGCCAGCCCCGATTCTCTCAGAGCTCTCTCATCCCCGCCTGCCTCACAGGGTGCCTGTTGTGAGGTGAGGAAGGGAAAGCTGCTTTGAGAATCCCTAAGGTAGAAAAAAGCAGGGTATAAAGGCTGACTCTCGCTCTTCCTCTTTTCCTTGAATACCAGCTGACCTGTCCTTGGGCTGGTGTCCTGAGGGGGGAGGGGGGTGCGCCTTTGGCCGAGGGCACCCAGTGACGCCCGTGTGCTTTTGCCTCCCCAGGTCAGCCGCTTCCTGCACTCCTACTCGCTGGCTGCCCAGGACCTCCCGGCAGAGAAGCTGCAGCGTCTCCAGGATCAGTTCTCCTCCGCCGTGGAGGACTACGAGAGGCTCCTGGCCCAGGCTGGCCCTCTGGCACTGTCCGAGGTGGAGCTCCTGCGGAGCCGCTTCCGGCGATACCTGCGGGAGGCCCGGGCCGTGTGCGCAGAGTCCTGGGCCCGCTTCCAGCCCGTCTGCATGGTGGCCGGCTGTGCCCTCCTGGCCTCTTCCTGCCTGCTGTGCTGGCTGGCCTCCCGGGCCCCGGCCTCCGCCTCGAGCACCTCCTTTCGGCACCTCCTCTTCTACCCTCTGCTGTGGGGCTTGGCGGGGGCTGCTGTGCTGGGCCTGGCTCATCTCTGGGGCTGGGTTGGAGCGGACTTCATCTGGGTGTCTGCCTGGGCCGCGGCGGCCTCCCAGTGTGGGTTCTTCTTGCACTGCTGGGAGAGGTGGCCCTGGAGGCCCCGCCCTGCCGGTGCCCGCCTCTCCTCCGGAGGTGCCAGCCTGAGACCGTGGGCGCGGGTGGGCCCGGCTCTCCCCTTGGGCATCCTCCTGGTCCGCTGCGGGGCGATGCTGTCGGACAGCTTTGTGATGGCCGAGGACAGGGTGGCGCCTTTCCTGCTCGTCTCCTCGGCGCTGCTGCTGGTCGTGCGGCTCCACTGGGAAGGGCGGCTGGAGGACTCGCCCGCGTCCTGGCGGCTGCTCGGCTGGCTGGGCGTCACCTTCGCCTGCGCGCGCCTCTCGGGGCTTTTCCGGCAGTGCCGCGAGGAGACCCCCCACTGCCAGTCCTCCCCCCTCCTGGCCCCGCTGTCCAGCTTGCAGGACCCACGAGCCAAGAACTTCTGCTACGTGCTCTGCGTGGCCGTGCTGGTGGCCCTGGCGTGGGGGGTGCGTGCCTGGCTGCGCCACTACGGCAACCTGAACAGCCCCAGCGCCCCGGTGCTCTTTGTGCGCTGGGGGCTCCCCCTGGTGGCCATCTGCATCGCCGGCTACTGGGCCATCACCTCTGGGGCCGAGGATGCCCTGGTGAGGTCCCACGCGTGGGTCCAGCTGGCCCTGGTGGCCTTCCCGCGGAGCGTCTTTGTCCTGCTGGCGGCGGGGCTCCTCCTGCTCCTGGGGGACCCCGTGACGGTCTTTGTGCAGGGCAGCCGGGGCGCGGCTGGGACGGGGGGACCCATCCTGCTCCCCAGTTCCCAGGAGGAGCTCCGGCAGGTCATCCCCCAGCTCTACCGCCGGATGCAGGAGTCCCTGAAGAGCCGGCTGCAGGAGGAGGAGGAGACCACCGGGGCGGATGGCCGGGCCACCGTGGCCGCCTACGGACTGGGCAGCGTCTACTCGGCCGCCCTCCTCATCTGCCTGGCCCTGCAGGGCTTCCTCTTCCTGGTGCTGCACAGCGAGCGGCTCAGCCTGGCCTTCCTGCTGCTCTTCCTCGAGGCCTACGCCTTGCTGGGGATGCACTCCGCTGCCGTGGCCCTCGCCTCGCCCGCCGGTAGGTGAAGGGCTTGCAGGGAAGGGGGGGGCGCTCTGGTGGC